GTAATAAAGTACTGGTCATGAATGGTACATCTTCCCTGTTTAGAATCACATTGTAATAAAATATCTTTGGTTGAATGATAGTTTCACGAGGAACAACGCTTTTCTGGATACATGCAAACTTTCTAAAATAACGAACACATCTTTGTTAATCGATGGAACTCTTAAAACTTCGGAAATTTCCTTGGCTGATCTGACAATTACTTTATGCGATGAATTAAAGAACTTTAATCATTCGTTAGATCAGTCTACGATTAGATCGCACATAATGTTACGCGACGTTCTCATGCTGTATCAAGAAGAATTACATAATTTAAAGTAAGTGTTGCAAGCTTTTAAGGATTCAGTTGTTTGGTAATAACATTTTTATGTCAATGAAAATGAAATTTCTAGCCTGTTAATAGAAAATTTGAAGGGGGAGAAAGAAAAATTGCGTACTGATATTGTAGAAGCTAACGAACGCGCGAACACTCTGGCTCAAGAGATTGAAGAACAACAAGCTCGACAAGAGAAAATTGTACAGAATGTACGGAAACAGGTCGAACAGCGTCACAGTGAAATGATACAAGATCTGTCGAATCAGTTAAATTCTGAACGCGAGACGAATGCTACTGCTTTGAAATCGAAGGACGATAAAATTCAATTGTTGCAAAAAGAAAATCAAGAAATTAGAAATAAGTTTATAACTACGTTGCAGGAGTATCAAGTTTTAGAGTCAGAAAACGAGGTCCTTTGTAGCCAAATCGAGAAACTGAAGCAATCGAATAACGAACTGATAACTCAAATCAAAATGTTAGCAGCAGAACACGATGAGGTACAGTATTAAAGTTCTTAATAAATGATAATACAAGAATTTAATTTATAGACTGCGGATTTTATGCAATTATACGAAAATTTCTGCAGAAATTATGTATACCTTGTGAAAGACAATTCAGAATATCAAAAGCTCAGTACGTACAGTGACTATCATTAATATTCGGACACATTTCAGAAATAAATGTGTCTGCGTTCTACTCCAATATTTGCATTATTTTGGACCATCAGCCTCTTTGTTTACACTTACAAAAAATATTCCAGAAGAATTTAGAACTGTAAGTTGGAGTAGAAGTCAGCAGATTTTCTCGTAAAATCCCCCAAGACATGAAGTTATGTCATCCAATATTAAAAAAGCTATTCTATTCTGAAGTGTGTCCGAATATTAATGGGAGTCACTGTTACTCTAATCAAATAAATGTCTATCCGTAACATATTTAAACTAACACGATAAACAGTTTATTTTGCATAAAGATCGACAGTCTAGTAATTTATACTGGGATGTGCGTTTAATTACAAATTTTATATAGTCTGAAAATGTAGAATCGAATCATCAACAAGAGATTGTATTTTTGGTGGAGCGTATTAAACGGTTGCAATCCGAAGCCGTTCTTCTACGGGACCAAAACGACGAGCTCACAGCTGAATTAGAGAGCTTGAAATTGCACGATTCCTATACTAAAGACACGAGGTATTATAAAAGATGATTCTCATAACGTGACGACTTTAAATTATTACAAGCTTGTTTTTTATGAAAGTGAAAATAAATTTGTTACAGAGAACTCGAATTTTCTAGCGGTCGTACGGCGAGTCATACCACAAGCGTACAATCTAATGAGATTGAAAGTAATTATTACAATTTAATATGCTTTACTTATAAGCTTGTATCCTTCTGTTATTATTAATCTGTGAAATATTTTCAGATGGAGAATCGTTTATAGTTGAAGAAGAAGACGATTTAGATGTAGTTTTAAAACATTCCACGTCTGTAAGTAACATAATTAACATTCATATAGCATTGTACAGGTCCATATGAAAAATAATATTTTTCTAGAATACTCTTAAAATTTTTCTCACCGAACACCTTGTATAGTTCATAATTTTGCTTTGTTCATGTAGTTGCCTTACAATACCAACGAAGAGGACAGTGAAGAAAATTGCAGAACAGCGAATTTAAAACAATTCAAAGACATGGTGATGAAACAGTTAAAAAATATTTTAACATACAGCAATAAATGTACTTCGGAGAGTTGCGTGTTTAAAATGGAAATATCGGGGATGCTCACGCGGTTGCAGCTGAGTCTCAGAAGCTTGAAAGAAGTGGATTTTGTGAAAAGTATTGCGTCCGAAATGGAGGCAGAGTGTGAGGAACGAACAAGCGAGTCTTTAAGGGATTTCGTTGTTTCGAAGCATAAGAATTCCGTTTCTACTAAACGAGGAACAGTAGCGTCCATTAGCAACGATACTAACAGCGATGTAGATAATTTTAGTAATCAAGATGCAAAAACTTCGTCGCCGAATAAAGTCTCAAGTCTTCGAGATTATCCCCCCCGTAAAGAAGAGCATACGAGTATCGATTGGAAATCAAATAAAGAAAAAGACACCTCGGTTCTGCATTACGCAAAATCGCCTAACGAAACTAATGCGATGAGCAATTTGAATTTGTCAACCGCCGACTCGTCCGAAGACGTTTTTCTAAGCTCGAAGTTGAAGGATCTCGAGGCAACTCACGCGGCGGAGAAGAAACAATTGATTGAACAATGCGCCGAATTGGAAAGAAGTCTCGAATTGTTGAAAATAGAGTACGAGGAATGCGAGGATTATTGGACCGCTAAGTTAGAGGAGGAGAGACAACTTTTTGAACAAGAACAGAAGATCAGCGACGAGAAGTTCTCAGAACTAATTACTAAAATGGCAGAGTATGAGGAGTTATTTAGCCCTGTGGACAAGATAAAGAATGGGGGACGCTTGTCTCCGATCGAAGAAAAGTTTAATTTGGAACAACAAGTAAGACATATGCTCTTTTTTAGATATACAGACTGTCCCAGAAAAAGTATTAAAGCCGAAAAGGGGTGTTTCTGAACAACAATTTCCTTTGCTAAAATACAAAATGAGCCATGGTTTTTTAATTATTAACGAAAAACACTGACCAATGAGAGCACGCGTAGAGTCCGCGCCCAGCTACGGGTAGGTTAGCTCGGATCGTGACGCTCGGCCGTTGCATAGCGCGGGCCCTACACACGCTCTTATTGGTCACTGTTTTTCGTTAATAATTCAAAAACCATGTCTCACTTTGCATTTTGGCAAAGGAAATTGTTGTTCAGAAACACCTCCAGAATCACCCTTTTTTCGGCTCTAATACTTTTTCTGGGATATCCTGTATACAGATATTTAATTGCATTTCATTTAACATAGCGCCATACCTATTTTTGATTAATTCAACGATTATCGATAAGTAGACAATGGATTTTTATGCAAAATAAGATATTTATGGTCCCAGTTTCATTTAATAATATTCTAAATTTGAGTAAAATCTGATTGTTAATTCTATTATCGATTCAACTTTTTTAACACTAGAAAGACTAAAACTTAGTATATATCTAT